GCCTTCCTGCTGTGAAGATGCAACGTATTGAGTACGTTTTCAACTTTTCATTCCTCCTCACGTTTGTAACATTTCAAAACCACATTTTGGGAAATGAGATTTGTGCCACACGTTCCTGAGTCTGTTGTGCTTGGGTTTACACTGAAATGGCTCCACACTATCTAACACAGCAACACGCTTTCCCAGTTCTCTGTGGGGTCGTGACCTCAATATCAAACAGGCTGTTTTTCTACGGCTCTTTCATGGTTGAGTGAATGGCAGCAGAGCGACCATGAAGCTGAATGCATCCTCCAGAATGTTACTGCAACACAAGGCAACAACTCATTGGTGGGCTGATGCTGATATGTAGTGCAGAGGAGGTTTATTGCCTACAGTGTTCCACTAGTTTACTCTTCATTCCATAACTGTTTCCGCAGTGAAAGGTGTTATTTTTGTACATTTGGGGGCGGGTAGCCTGCGGGGAGACCGTTGTAGAGAGCTATAATGTACTGTAACACCGTGGCAACAAATTATTATCAACATTATTCACAATGCAGTAGTCAGAGTGAACTTAATGACATGAGGGCGTATTGTATTTCCCAAGAAGAGGGGTGAAGGGGAAGCAAGAAGTCAGCCTTAATTTTGTGCCCAGTTAAATATGCTGATGCAGAACATGTTTCTGCTGCTTCTTCTTCTGGCAAATTATTTTTTGTTATCCAAAATTAAAAACGGTTGCTGAATGAATAAAAAAATAAATAAATAAACGAATAAAAAAAAAAAAAAACTCCTTTCACGGTTGCTTCTGTTTTACATATGCATATATGAAAATGTTTCTGATGCAGCTTTGCTCACAGGATTATTAACCATGGATGTTGTTTGTGCCTAGATATGACAAACTACAAATATATGTGTGTGATTAATGTAATCCTATCTAATTGTTTGTTTCCATATCATAGTAAAATATAATATGCTGAGATTAAAATCCACTGTGAAGTTATTAAAAGTCTGGGAGAGAACAGTTTGTGGGATTATTGTAGATATTAAAGTGATACTACATTGAACTGTGGCCGCTGTGGACCATATGTGGCATTTACAAGATAATGACCCATTAAATTTCCTGTCATTCTCCAAATTCTCTTGACTCAGTTAAAAGCATCACAGTTATGCGGACTTGATGGAGGGAGAGTGAAACGGTGCCACAAACAGCAAATGTCTCCTGGTAAGACATGTTTACTTTGTGTTTTACATTGACATATTGTGGTGTAGCATAACAGTATGACAAGTAAAGAAGAATCAAAGTTAGCAAACTGACAAAACTCTAAAGGTTGCTATTAGTCAATATTAGCTGTGTGTTTGGTGACACGATTCACAGTCTTGGTTTCTTGATTCTTGGTTTCTCACTGTCCCATTAATCACAGGTGGTGATGACACTCAAGAGAAGTAGTGATGTGGCAACAGTGGCAGGGAGAACAGGATAAACTAGATAGCATGCATGGATGTAAACAGTGCAGTTTTCACTTTTCTATGCTTCTGCGCCAACGATATCCGCAGCCTGAGGCTCTATGTTTGCGGGTTGTCTGTCCGTAGATATGTCCTTCTCTCTGTATTGCCCATTCTTGCGAAGGTGTTATCTCAGGAACACCTTAATTTAATTTCTTCAAATTTGGCCCAAATGTTCATTTGGGTTCAAGGATGAACTGGTTTTGGTGGTCAAAAGTCAAAGTTCAAGGTCAGTGACCTCATGCCTGTCCATTTTCGTGAGAATGACTGGATGGTGGAGGCATGCAACCACGAAGCAATAAGTCTTTTTTTTTTTTTCATAAGTCAACATTGTACATCTTTTATGAGGAAGAAGATGCATGTTACAGTAAATATGGCTGAAGAATATGCACAGTAGTGATGTGTGATATTATTTCCTTTCCAATCTGATACCAGGTAAAACCCAGGCTGGTATCACCGCTAACATTACTCATACCAAGACTTTTACAGAAAAAAAACAACAAATAAAAAGAGATGGGTCCAGATGACAGAGACTGACGGAGAAGAGGAGATATAATGTGCTTCTGTAAGAGCTTGCCAATTTTATTAACGGTTCCACCCTGGTCACATTATCGTGAAGTTACATTTCTGCATCCAAGATTTTGAACTGTAGCCGCTTTTAGCATCCCAACTTTATTGTTGTTTACATCCTTCCTCCCACTCTATTACTGTGACACTAGACTATGCAGTGCTTTCTTGTATTTTATTATATTTCTTCTATTCTTGTATAATTATATAGCTTCCACAGTTTTGAGAAACTGTCGTAAAGCTATTTATTCTAATTCTAATTCTTATTCTAATTCTTGGTGGCTGTAGTTTGCATATATTACCATGACAGGTGGAAGGAGTATTATTTAGACTGTCCTGGTAATAGTTACATTTTAATGTGTCCCCTGTTGACGATAACGCACACCCCATAATAGCCTACTGATTTTAGATGCTGATCTTTTAATATAAGAATTGACCCTAGAACATGAAGCACTGGAGTTGGAAGTATGGATATGTCAGGATCAATCCGCACATCACTACTGCACAGTGTGTTCTGGTGAGGAAAAGTAAACTACACAGGGTATCTTTAAGGAATGAGTAGAGTTTGTAGTTCATTTTTAAGTAGCACTATTTTTGAGAAATATATGTGTAATGTCCCAAACACTGTTAGTATGCAACTATACTGATTTTAACTGTGAGACAAAGGCCAGATACATGAATCATTACTTACACTTACATGCCTGGTACAAGGTAAATACAGCCATGAAAAACATACTAACCCCTCAACGTAAAAACCTGCTGATGCAGTGAAATGATTCAGCCACCAGGGCTGCACTTACAGATTATGATATCACAAACTTAATGTGCTCCTATGGGAAATTGGCAGACACATGCACACAAACACACACATAGAGAAACCTAGACAAGGCGTGCTGACAGTGACAGAGAGAGAGAGAAAGAGAAAACTGATTAAGTACCAGCCCCCACCATTAAAGAACATACTTGAAGAAAATAATGTGGCCACAAGCCAAAGACACACACACTAATGTACAGTTTGACAAAGGGGAGGCACGCATCCACCTCCCACCTCCCCTCCCAGCGCCACCCTCATGTCAAGTCATATATGAGGGAGGATGGAAAAGCCCGCCTGGCTCCCAGATGCTCCTTCATCCATCCAGTCCAGTCAGCCTGACAAACTAATGGAGACTAATCAAATGTCAGGGCGAACACACTGCACACTACATCTCCTGGATTCCCTTACCACGCCCGCGCTCCTCCGCGAACGCCACCAAAATCTCCCCCTCTATCATTTAAACATATAACTGTCATGAGCAGAAATAACACAGTGGTTGCTACAGACTCTTCCTAGGACAAACACATATACACAAACATACATATTTTAATGACCTTCATTATGACCTATACCTAATTTTAAACTAACCTTGACCTTAACCCTGGTCTGTTTTGTAAACAAAATGGCTGCTCAAAATATTAGAAGTTGGCAGATGACATTACACTCCACTTTGTAAATCAATATATTTGGTAGCTTCTTGTTACTGGCAGAAGGACAGAGCTCTGGGTGTTTACAGGCACTACATTATAATCATACTTGGCCCATATAATACTTCTGATTATTACAACTGTCATTTAAACTCCTTAACCAGGTTATCCTACTAATAGTCTAATAATGCTCATTGGATTACTCTCTTAAAGGACTCTGGCTTCAGTCTGGTTTCTGTCTTTGTTTTAATTCTGCATGCAAGCTGCAAAATGTCATGTGAGTGAACTGGAAGCATAGCAGTGTCTGGAAAATGAACATGCTCAGCTGTGGAAGTAGAAGAAGAGGCTCTGCTTTTTTGAGGAATTAGCCAAATTTACTTTCCTGTTACAACATCGCAGCATCTGACATATTGGTCATGTTCTGTGAATTTATTTACCGGCCTTTTCTTTCTTTGTGTGTGTGTGTGTGTGTGTGTGTGTGTGTGTGTGTGTGTGTGTGTGTGTGTGTGTGTGTGTGTGTGTATACACTGCACATTGGGCCTCAGCTTCACTTTGACTGTCAGCAACTTCTCCACAGTTAACCCAGCAGTCCATTATCTTACCTTGTGAAACATACTGAAACTACCTGAAGCCTAGTTTTGTGAAGATCAAACCTGTGACCTTGAACACCCTACCCAGAAGCCTACACTTTACTTTGTCTGCATTCCTTTCTACTGGGCTGGACTCGGTGCCATACATAATTGATGGCTGCCAGCAGGATGTTTGGCTTGGACTGGGCTGGAAAATTCTATATCATTAGTACAGCGTGAAAGCATGACTGACTAATTGTCAGAAAAGAAATTATAATGGCTGCTGCTATACAGGGAACAAGTGCTAATTAACACTTCGTCATTACAAGAAAACCCTAATGAAAATTACAGCCAGTGTGCTGTTATTACATATACATGAATGATAGTTTTCTTCTTAATGTTTTTCTACTGGGGATATGCAGATATAATGGCATTTTTAGGGGGGATGTAGACAGATTAATCATACAGGATGTAGCATTATTCAATAAAATAATATACACAGCCTAGAGTTGTACAATATAATGCAGATCAGCCTATTTGGAAGCCACTGAAATGCTGCCTGGTCATGCAGAGAGAGGTATGCTAAATTCCTTGAGCTATTCATATCATTTCAACTGTGCATGTGAAAATAATTGAGATTTTTACAACCCCATGGCACAAAATGTCCATAACATACTGTATCTGCAAAAAGAATCTCAGGGAGGGAGCAGTAGCAACAATTCCTGCCAGGATGCCAGGATTTCGAGCTTTTAGTGCTTAACTTGGTGACGTGAACTGTATTTTGGAATATAAAGGATTGGTGGTCCTGCTTAAGATCCTTAACAGAACACAAGGGTTAAAATGTATAAAAGCAGATGAGTTGTGTTACCTACAAGTTGCAAAGCAATAAACATAACAGCAGATTGTTAGAAATCCATGACTTACCATCTTTCCCAATCAGGAAGTCCAGGTAGCGATAGGTATAAGCCACGCCCACCTTAGTCTCCACCTGTGGTCTTTTCAGGGTGGAGTAAATCTTCCCAGGACTATTGTCCTCTGACGTTGGCCTCATCTTACGCAGCCCACAGCCCATGGCTCCACAGCTTGTCAGTGACTCTGTGCACAGACCCTGCCAACCAAACAAGACGCACTGAGACGGTGTTTCATTGTCACCTGTGAGTCTGTGTGAGGCTAGTGCATAAATGAGTGAATGAGAGAGTGCACATGGGCTCCTGTGTATGTGTGGCTTTAGAAATAGGAGATAAGGCTCAGCACTAACACATGGAATAACAGAGGACGTACAAACATTAGTAAGTGGACCCAAACAAGAAAAAACGCTTTTAAATGCACATTAAGTAACAATATGCTGTAAGTTAATTTATGATATCATTAGCAAAAAAATTAGATTTCAGTGTTAAAATGTGAGGGTAAACATTGTACAGAAAGTCCAAAGAATGATCATTATTACCTCATGACTATATTTAAATACAGTGTTTGAGTAGATGTGTTTATGACAGATTGATGGCCAGATTAACTTCTCTGTGACACTGACACTGTACTTAAATGGCACTGTATGCACACAGGCATGTACACACACATATGAAAGTAAACATTCATACACTCAGATATCCATGATTCCTCAGCAATGTCAAAAGAAAAGAGGAATATGCTGGATAAGCATCTGTAAATTAATAAATAAACACGGGTAAATGAGATCGATTCTTCACGGGTTCCCTTTCCCTCATTTCCAGGGAGACCAAATTAACAGAGACAACTGTGGAGGAAGAGGAGGCCTTAAAGAGCCAGTGCTGCAGACACCGCTTCACTCCAAATGCTTTGTGACAGCAATACCGCCTCTCTCCCGTGGCTGCGTCTGGGAGCAGGTGACATCCTATTGTGTGGCACTGATTAAACTCAAGGATGGATGCATGGATGGATGGATGGTGGTGTGCCCTCCCTTCCCCTTCCACCTTGGTTCTCTATTATAATTACATAGTGTCACAGGGCCTTTGCTGGAGACAACGAGTTGGCCATTGCTTAAGAGACAACAGGACAGGAAGTTAGGAGGGGCAGGGGGTTGGGAAGTAGGAAGGAGTGGGAGGTGACAGGAAATGAACAGACGGGGACTCTGTTAATGAGGTGAAAGCAAGAATGGAAAAGGTGAGAATCAATCAAGGAAGAAAGAGGGGGTGGTGGGTGGCCGGGTTGGAGATTGTTCATCAGAAAAGGTGATGGGGGACAGGGGGCAGCGAGTAATGCATGGCAAGTAGAGTCTGGAGAGAAAAAGAGTGTGTAATTAGAGTCCGCTGAATAAAAAAGGAGTGATCAACAAACGATGAGAGAGAAAGAATGAGAGATGAAGCAGGAGCTTCATTATGGTTGTCATGAAAGCCAGTGTTTCCAGTGGCAGTGACACAAATGTCTTTGTTGAGCTTTATGAATCTCAGTGTGTCTCACAATCGTATCTCTACAGGCCTCATAACAGCTCCTTGAAATGAACCGCAGGCGGATGAACTTGAGATTAATACCAGAACATGTTGAATCCTGCACGCGGCCAGCCACTTGGTTTGTGTGTTAAAGTTTCAGAAGGTTTCTAAATGGTTATACATGGTGTTGTACTGAAGAGTTGTGTCTTTGCCTCTCACCACGTGCCACGTAGGACTGATGTCTTGCTTCTGTTTCTAAGAACAAAAGAGCCAAACAGAATCTGACGAAACTGGCATAAACAACGTCCCTAAAAGTGCTTCAGTCCCCCCTTAAATTATCACTCAGGGCTGTGCTGCACTGTGCTGCAGTTCACCACACGGCATCACAAATGGCTTTGTCATCAAAGGAAACGGAGAAAACACTTGAGTGTTTCCAGTTGCCTACAGTTACTTGTAAACAGCTTTTATCATTCTTCTTTTACCCTGGAGAGAGAGGAACAACAAGCAGGAAGGTGAGGCTCTGTCATGTACTCTACAAGAGATGGAGACGAGGTGTTCAGAACAATAGGATGGAAGGGTTGGAGGGAGGGGCATGGAGAGAAAACAAAGTGGATAAAAACAGGGGCTTGTATTTGCATACCTCCTTGAGACCTGTGAGGAGGCGATGTAAGGCGAAGGCAAACAGCTGTATTTTTAAAGCTGAACTGAGAGAAGAAATCTGAGATGTTTATGATTTTTGAGTCACTTTCTTTCCTCAAACCTCTCCATGTGGGCACGCCCCACAGGCCCCACCTCAGTGACAGGCAGAAGGTCAGAATGCCTGACAGGGTAGACAGATCCTGGGCAGCTATAGCAAAAGCAGGAAGAGGACCACTGATTTCCCTTCTGCTGAATTAGCAGTGATCCTCTTGCTATTTTGTTCTGTCTTTTGTCTCTTGCTAATGGCATTTTCAGGTTTTAGTCAATAAGATTCCCTCCTCGTAAGCTGGGGCTGATTTTCAGATACTTTGTTGTAGCTGGGATGCACTTAACTTTGGCTCTTGCAACCAAAACATCCCACAGCACTATGTATTGTGCTGAATGCTTGTCTTTCACTGCCAGTCAACAGTTCTTCACTTCAAGGTTTGTTCTCTTTCCTGTGCTCAAAAGGGGTCATTACCAATCACTTCTCCGGGGATTTTTAAAGGTAAAACAACAGATTTTTGGCCACTGTGGAGCAGAAGAACTCTACTGCAAGTTGAATAACACAAAGTACTGACCTACAGGATTTTGGCCTTATGGATACTGTGTATACAAACTGCATTATTTACACATGCAGAAGACAAAGCAACACTGGTCATCAGATAGAGCCGTTTTTTACTCCAATATTCATTGTCCTTTTAGCCCCTGACCATAATGCTGCTCCTCATTTAAAGATAGTGGAGTCTTAAGTTGTGCTGTTGTTCTAATGACAAATTAGATGTTTATGGTCATGCCCGTTTTCAGTAATATCACTGTGGTAGATGAATGCACAAACCCCCACTTGCACTCTCAAACATTATAGTGTCAACAGCAAGCAGCAACTGCAATGAATGAGTTTCCTAAATGCTATCTGACTGAGATTGTCTCCGTTTTACAAGACCATCTTACATGGCTTTGATAGGAACATTGCTGAGATCAAACCCAGCAGCATGGGAAGCTTCAGATTAGATTAATGGAGGAAAACATTAATTAGGACACTGTGTTCTTGCATTCTTCTCCATGTAGTCTCTCTTTTAAGCCCATTCTCTGCCTCTCTCCCCCTCTCTCTTCCATTTTATCTCCCTGACCCTCTTTGTCTTTTCTGACTTTTGATCTTTTGAATCTGACAAATAAAGTGGAGCACTGGGCTGCATTTGTTGGTGGGTACATTCATAGTTATTTGTGAGGAGCAGAGTCATTGGCTATCCAAAGTGGAGAGAGGCCATCAGATAAATGACAGGACGAGACTGACCTCACTGAAAATAAATGGCAGCAGTGTTTATGTTTTTCTGAAAAGCAACAGTGTGCAGTTGTTTTTTGTTTTTTTTTCTTCAGAAAAATGCCAGAAACAAAGCCAGGGGGTGACCAGTGCATCTATACAGTCTGTGATGTATAGACAAGACTGATGTGTGTTCTATCTCCTACAGTATCAATAGTCATCATTGGTTTCTTGCAGTCATGAAGATAATTTTTCACTAACGTTAACCATGACAGTATAGTGCTTATTTCACATCTGTACATTTGGTTCATTTGTTTCAAACTGAGGAAAAGAAATATATGTGCAACAGTACCATTATTTTTTTATTTCTCTTAATTATAATGAGGAAATGCATTCCTTTCTTTGCTGCACTTGGTTTCATGTTGGTGTTCTCTCCAGTATGCCATAAATTCGAATCAGAAGTTCAGAGGAAAGTTTTGTTACATCTTCGAGGAACAGAGAGTCAAAATGTTGTTATAACTTCTGGATTGTGTTACCGTAAACCATCACAGGTAAAACATCATGGCTTGACAGTGGAGGCAATATGTCTGCAACAACAGCGGGACACAGAGGACTGAGTGGCATAGAAGCTTTTAGAGAGCAGAGATTACAGCTATTACACTGGAAAATTGACTTTGATGGAACATTTTAATGGAAGTTTTCTAGGACTAAACTATGAATTAATAATTAAAATCACAAAGATTACAACTTTTAACAGCATGTGCTGTAGTGGATGTTAATTGTCTTAGAATATGGGAAGTAAACCTCAGCATTACAGTTTTCATTTAGACAGATAAAAAGAATGATTAAGTTACAGACATGATCTCATCATATCAGCCATATCAGAATTCACTGTAAAAACACAACAAATAAAACTTTATTGTACTGTAATCGTGGTATTGTATTGTTAGTGCATGCAGTGTAATATGAGAACCCCCTGAAATATTTCTATATTGAAAATGCTACAGAAAAATTGAACATGTTTTGGTGATATCTTAATTTTTCAATTCTTACATTCTCCCAACAAGGAGTCCACAGGTGCCAAAGGTGGAATTGCTTTTTCAACTCACTGAATTTGTTATATTTGCTTTGAAAGTGCAAGGACGATGCCTAATAGCAAGCACGCAGAGGAAAAAAGGAAGGTGAAGGGTGAAAGTGAGACGGAGCGAAGAGGCGAGTAAACAATAGAGTCTGAGATTCTCAGCCATGTCAAGGTGGCTCTGCAGCTCACTATGTCCTGGACCAACCTCGTCTCTGTAGGCTCAAGGCCCAGTTATAGTCCATCCACGCATACACACATTCATTGACAGAGCTATTGCCATGGGAACCAGCCCCTCTATGACTATTCCCTTCTCTGAAGGATAATAGGCACTAATCTGCCTCCACCTCTCTTTCTTTTTTTTGTCAGTTTCTGTCTTTCTTCTCTTTTTCTGGCTGTTGTAAGTTCCCATCCCTCTTCATCACCAGGACTGGCTCCATCTGTCCTCTCCTCCTCCTCCTCTTTTCCTCTCCTCCATGTCCGAGAGTAAACACTCATGTCTTCCTGTTCCCCTCCTCTCCTCTTTGCATGTCTTTGATAGTCATTAGTTTGATTTGTTATGCATAATCTCGCCACGCTGAGATTTGTACAGCCCTTACAAGTGTTCTTACAAGCAATAAGTAGAGCATTATCTCAACCCAACATGTACAAAGACTGGTTGTTTTCAAGCTGAGATTTAAAAAAAA